TGACTCAGCGTCACATGAAGGTTGGTAAGATGAGGCTGTAATCTACAGAATGATTACGCCCCTGAGTATCAGCAGGAGGGCCCCTCACCTGCCTCTGTCAGAAACACAGTCATGACCATAGGAAATGAAAATCCACACATCCCCCCCATGGTTTTGACCGAGCACCTCCACGTACAAGGAAACTCTGCTTACAGTTACAGAGAATCCTTCCCAAAGAACATTCAGTCTTAAAACTCAAACAGATGAGTGCCATCTGGTTCAAGGACGGTTAAGTGCCTGCTTTCTCTGTGAGGAGACATGAGTACCTACTCACGACAGACGAGTAAACTGCCAATGATGCTGCTGTGCCTTGAATCCCTTTCCCATTACTGAGATCTCTCTGAATTAGAACTCATTAAAAATGGCATAATGGATGGTGTGGTGGTTAAGTTTGTGTGTCAACTTGGTTGGGCCTTGTTGAGTGACTGGGCAGCTGGATGTAATCTTCCCCATAAAAGTGGTAATCAACTCCATGGTGGAATCTACTGTGAGCAGCTGAGTAGTTGGCTTTGGGTATGTGGTCTGCTTCCCATATATAAGCAGCAGCTTTGGGAACGGTCTCTAGATTATGGCACACTTGAACCCTGCATGTAGCCGTGTCATTGTTCAGCAGGCTGCCATGCTCTGCCAACCTCGGGACTTTGAATAGACTTGAATCAATGGCCTGCCATGTGGTTTGGTAACATCAGGACTGTGCCTTTTTACTTGTCAACCTTGGGGCTTCTCAGCCTCAGCAGCCAGCAGCTATCTGAGTGAAGAAACGCCTCTAGCTCCAGTGGGCCGGGAACAGGAGGCAGAGCTGGACCCCAAGGCTGAGGGCTTCACCCAGCCCCTAGAACCTGGCACTCTGAACTCAGACTTAAAGCCTCCAAACTGTAAGAATAAACTCCTGTTTGTTCAAGCCATCCCATTTGTGGTATATTCTTGTCAGAGCGGCAGTAGGAACCAGCACAGACCGTTTTTATCTTCCAACACTGTTCAACTAGAATAGGATCATGTCGATAAAACCCTTCAGGCTAACTGCCAATTTTCTCTAAAGGAAAAAACAAAAATCCCTCGTGTACAGACAGACCCTGGTCCTGGTCTGACCAGGGTAGCAATGGGGTCACTCCGCATACTCGGAGCGGCCAGGCGCAGGACTGCATCTCAACAACTCGGCAAGCCCCCTTTCCAGCTCCGATGCTATCTGGGGACTTGTCTGGCTTCTGCTGTGGTGCCAGCTCTTCTCTGACCCTTGGCCGGTGAGATGCTCAGGTCCCCGCTGCCGCCTGGGTGCACTCTGTCCTTTGTGACCCTTTCAAGGGAGCAGCAGTGAAGAGAATTTTGTCTTCAAGGGGTGGGTGTCCCGGAGGAGAAGGGTGAGCAGTTTGGGCGGAGGCCTGAGCATGTTCTAAGACCCACAGGAGATTCTGCTGTTCCGCCACCGCCTCCCTCCCGGGGCCGTGTGCCTCCCCCCAGAGCCGAGGGGAGTCCAGTGGCCTCTCGTCCCTGCCCCAGCACTCCTTTTCCTGTGCGGCTGCCTTCAACAGACGGAAGCCGGCTCCAGCCACCACTCCTCCACGGGGCCGCCTCCAGCAGGCATAGGTGGGCTCCAGCCACGGCGACCCCACGTGTGTCCAAGGAGAACCATGCTCACAGGGTTTTCACGACTAAGTTTCTGGAAGCAGATTGCCAGAGCGTTCTTCCAAGTGCCTCTGGGTGGGCTCGAACCGCCAACATTTCAGGTAGCAGCCGGGGCCGTGAGCTTGTGTGTTGGGGGGATCTGCACTCCATGGGGCACTCAGCACGGCCCGTCTGGAAGCAGAACCCAAGCCTTCTTCCAGAGCACCTCTGGGGGGATTGAACCGTTAGCCTTACAGGGAGCAGCCGAGTGTGCTAACCGTCTGCATCACCAGGGGCTTTAACACGGCCCCCAGCACCGAAGGTCAGGGCAGTCCTCTCTGGCGATTTCCTCCCCTCAACCGAGAGGCAGTACTGCTGTGGACTCTGGGAAGTACCAGCTTCCGACCCTGACTTCCTCCTGGCCTGAGGCTGTGGTGAGGACAGAGGCACTCTGTGGCAGCAGGTCTCAGCACAGCGCCCTGTCTGCTGTGGTAGCTCCTAAAACCCTTAAGACCTTCCCAGACTTCTGTTAGTACAGCCCATAGCTGTTAGTGTTGCAGATCAGCCCTGACTCAGAGACCCCATGTACAACACAACGAGACGTCACCCGGTCCTGCATCAGCCTCACGCTCCTGGGATGCTTGAGCCCGCTGTCCCCGCCACTGTGTCAGTCCACCTCACTGATGGTCTTCCTGTTTTTGCTGACTCTTCACTTTGCCAAGCATGACATCCTTCACTAAGGAATGGTCCCTTCTGACAACATGACCAAAGTAGGTGAGACGCAGTCTGGCCATTCCCTCTTCCAAAGAGCATTGTGGCTGCACCTCTTCAGGACAGACCTGTTTGTTCTCTGGCAGTCCATGGTACCTTCAGTATTTTTGACCAACACCACAATTCAAAGGCATCAACTCTTCTTCAGTCTTCCTTATTCAAGTCCAGCTTTCACATGCATATGAGGCAACTGAAAATACCATGGCTTGGGTCACGTGCACCTTAGTCTTCAAAGTGACATCTTTGCTCTTCAACACTTTAAAGAGGTCTTTTGCAGCCAATGTGCCCAATGCAGTATGACATCTCATTTTTTTTTTTTTTAATTGTGATTGGGTGAAGATTTATAGAGCAAACTCACTTTCCATACAGCAGTTCACATATTCTTTGTCTCATGTCATTGACCACGGTTTTCCACAATGCAACAGCTCCCCTCCC